CAAAGTTGTCTACTAACGACTTGCAGAGTGGTAATGAAAGGTGAAAAAGTGTGACGCAAACTAGAAACAGGAAAAAAGTTGTGCCACAGCGCTGCTGCCAACATGTTTGAAAAGGTGCAGCTTTTACTTTAAAGGTTAATGATCCCTGTTTCCAGTTTGCGTTGCATGTTTTACAGCTGGTGAATATTTGCAGTAAAGTCACTACAACCAAATACAACCGTGGCAATCTGCTAGCAACCAAAGCAATCCCAACGAAGCCTTCTCCAATTGATTGGGAAATACATGTTCTTCCCTAGTGACTGGTGGTTGCCAGGAAAGTCTCTGACTGGTTTCTAGACCTGTGTAACCGAGGCTTGTCCATCAACCTCTAATAACCACTCGCCAACCAGACAGGGAATATAAATTGCTCCGTTGTTACTGGTGGTTCACAGTGCCTAAGGTGACTGGAGCAAATAAATGTAACCCTACACCGTCACCATTATTCTTACACATGTTTCAGACCTACAGTACACACTGGTGCAAAAAGAAAGCATGAGATACTTTTGCAGGGCTACAAAAATGTTTATTTTGTTGTTCATTTTGTGTATATTTGTCCAAAAAACAGTTCATAAAATGCAAAATATGGATAATAAAGAAATCTATTATAGAATTGCTTTACGTTAAACAATGTGATAGAAACGCCTCAGCTGCAGGCAAGAAAAGGCCGTCGAAGAGGACATTCATCTTGAGGAACTTGTACCTTTTTGTGGTTTGTGTGTGTTAAGACTTTAGTGTTGCTGTAACTATTTCTTCCAGGAATGCTCATCTAACAAGCTCATGTGTTGGTTCTGGTGTTGAATCAGGGTCAACGGGTTGGTCCTTGGAAATCCTTCTGTGTGCCATCTCTTATAAATCTGTCTATAAGTGATTTAATTCCAATCTATACGTAAAAAATGAGATCAATAGATTCGCGCCATTCAACACAGCAGCTTCCACAAAGCTTTTCTTTGATTTTATAAGGAGCAAACCGCATGTGTCACCTAATTGGACTCATTCGCATTGGAAAAAACAATACCTCAGTTATTAAACACACCTGTAACCTTCCTCGCAAATGTGGGTGTTTAACGTCTCTAAACATCCCTACACAATTGCACACTGTGTCACACACGTGTGTCGAGGTGTCCCTACCGCTCCCAAGCATTCTTTGATCGCTTGTCACTCAAGTTAGGCAGTTAAGATGCTTTGACAACCTTCATGGAAGCATCCGGTTGCTCCCATTTCACCCTGCAGCATGACAAGAAGAACAAGAAGCCCTGTGACCTATGGTGTCCCACTCTTAGAGTTTGGGTCCTAACACAGTGAGGTCAATGTGAGATTTCATGAGGAGACACTGAGACAGCTTCCACAGAAGAGGTTCACACTTAACTCAGAGCGCCTTAAACTTTTGCAAAGCATCGTGTGTGTTCGTTTCTGTGATGTTACTAAACAACTGGGAGGATGTGGTGACACTGGACGGTGAGTCAGACCCAAACCTTGAACACTGACTGCGCCCTGCGGCATGTGACTCGGCTTGCTGAGTCACATCCAGCCTGATGCCAACGTTTTCTGCCCTTAGCTGACAGCCCACTTTTTCAATGCATTGATTAATAAGTTTTCATGCACATGCTCCCACTTATTATTATTACTTTAAGCCTTTGCCGGAGCTCTATAAGTGCCAACAGACCGTGTGTGTGATTTCAAGAATGATTCTTCCACGAACAAAATAATTTTTTAAGGTGGAGTCCCTGCCCTATGTTTCCCTATGTCTCTGCACCACACCTGCCACTGCTGCACTAAACCAGGTGGCAGTGTGCTCTTCTTTGCCAGACATTCTGCCGGTCAACACTTTTTTAGCCAAAGTGTGTTCCTTTTTTTTTTTTCTTTTCTTTCTGCCTGTCCCGTTTGGTTCTTTTGCCATCAGAATTATTGTCTAAAGGCAAAGAAAGATGCCCAACAGATTTACTTTACCAAATTGACTATCCCAGCCTTGCCGTAATGGTCCATTTGATTCATCTTTTATTGTTTATTTTATTTATTTCTTTATTTCTTTATTTTATTTTCACTTGCTAGATACGGGACAGACTTGAATGAGGAAAAGAAAAGGGAGAAAGGAAGAGGGGGGGAAACAGTGGAGAAGAGGGACGGGGATAAAGGGCAAAAAAAAACCAAAAACCAACTAAATAAGCAGACAAAAAAAACCCAAAAACCAAAAAAGAATACA